TATACTTATACCTATACATGTACATGTACATGTATATATATATATACATATATATATATATATATATATATGTATATATATATATATATATATAAATATATATATGAACTAGAATTGGTAGTCACCTGAGCCGTTGCATCTCCGTTCTGCCTCAGCCTGACCACAATTTACACGGGCGTACGTACCACATTCAGGTTACGCTACATGCATGCGCATGCACATGTGCATGCCGGCCAAGCCTACCACGGACCAAGCAACCACCAATAGACATAATACATACACGATATATATATACAGGACAACACATATCCAAGCCTACTCACCTGAGCTGTGATATTGGCGTCCCATCCCATCCTGACAACATTATACGCCAGCTTACGCATTCCCGTCAACTGCTTGATGCGTTCGGGCACCTCTGCAGGCCGTTCTGGAATCCCGACGGGTGACGCCAGCACGAGCTTCTCTATATATTGCGGATACTTAAGAGCATAGGCTGCGCTGAGGTAGCCGCCCAAACTGTGTCCTACAAGCACCATCTTGTCAATGTTCATAGCTTGACGCCACTCTTCCAGGGATTGGACGTACAGGCTTTCGATAGTCTCTACATCGTCTGGTGGAGAAGGTGTGGTGATATGGCGAAAGTGTGTGAGTAGAGCGACCAGAGCACGTGCGGGATGATAAGCACAAGAGACGCCACATACAAACAAACTATCGACAGTGTGTTTCATGGATTATAGACGGTATGCTCGTGGATGGGACCATGTGAGTACAACAACCACAATAAATGTGTGAGGGTAGTCAATAGATGACTGAACGATACAAACCATCGATAGTCTCTACATCGTCTAATGAAGAAGGTAAGGTGATATGGCGAATCCGATTAAGAGAACGACCAGAATAAATGTGTTGGGATAGTCAAAAGGAAACTCAACAGACAGAATATCGGCTATATATATATATATATATATAGCATCTACAGGAGGAGGTATGTTGATGAATGCAACCGTGTGAGTAGAACAAGCTGAATAAGTGTGTTATAATGATGCTCAACTGCGTATCGTAACATACAGCTACAGACCGAATTGAACAGCTGCGTGAGACTCAAATGTCTACACTCTGTTACGTCGTGTGTATATAGTACTATAAAATGTTATAAAATATGGGTGCGCGAAATTAGCACACACATGTACATAAACCCTGTATCCTATATACATACAATCTTGGAATAGGATGTGGACAGCATCCCTATTTACTATCTCGATATGGCCCCTTTGTCACATGCATGCTACTTCACAACTAGATATATACAATACGATTATTACAAACACGTACATACAACGCAAAGATGTACTTACATACATACATACATATAACACAGGACACACATGCAACACAACAACACACATACATACAACAGAAAGACACACATACATATAACACAGGACACACACAAAGACACACATACATACAATACAAAGACACATACATACAACACAAGATCACAGACACACAAATACATACAATACAATACACATCCAACAGACCGACACACATACATCGAATACATACAACACAAAGGCACACATACATACAATATAACGACACACATACATACAACACAAAGTAACACATACATATAATACAAAGACACACATAGGGATAATACAAAGACATACATACATACAGAACAAAACCACACACACATACAATACAAAAGATTTATACAGCACAAAGACACACAATTATACAACAGAAAGACACACATGCATATAACACAGGACACACATACAAGCAACACAACGGCACAAACACAACATAAAGACACAGACGCATATAATACAAAGACACACGCATACAATACAAAAACACACATACATGCAACACAAAGACATACATGCATAGAACAGAATGACACGCATACATACAAATTAAAGAGACACATGCATCATATGCATACAACCCAAGGGCACATATACATACAATACAAAGACACGCATACATACAACACAACGATGGGCCCTATGCAGTATGATACAGACCTGGATTTTTGGACATGTTTGGCCGACTGGAGTTGCCCATTCCCAGCCAATCTATACCGTGCACTCGGCGCTGTGTGTCTCTCGCAATGGGCTCATAGTTCTTAAAATAGTGACCAATCCCGCAGCCGTATCCGTGCGCGATGACTACATCTGCCGTAGAATCACGGCTAGTTCCGATCGCAGTAGCGATATCAGCACAGACGCCTTCTAACAGTACAATGCAGGTGATGGGGCGTTGATATTGATTGGTGTTCAAGTGTTAAAATATGTCGCTGTTATATGATATATGGTGGTACATGAACGGTACCTATAGGCTACCAACAGAACAACGGGCAAGTGGATACGAACGCGTGGCAGAATTGTCTATCTGTGGACTCAGGGTGTGGTGAAACCAGTCATTGGGTATAAGTGCAGTTGCAGCGGTAGAGATAGTGAACGTATATACACAGCATGTATTTAGCACCTTCTGACTTTATAAGAGTCTTTTAACTCGATTTCAAACACCAGCTACAGAAGTACAACAAACAGCCAGCACACAGGCATGCACACACTGACATGAACGGAAGATATCACTGCAATATATAAGTTCGTATGGTGTAAAATTTGTACGGCTGGTGCTGAAAATGGATGCACACAATCGATATATATATATATATATATATATATATATATATACAACACACACACACACACTATATATATATATATATATATATATATATATATATA